AATACTCATCTCGTGGGCCCGAGAGCGAGACACCAACAGACTAGCTTTCCCTCGCAGACCTATGGCCACGTCTGCCATCTACGGGCCCGTGTCAAGCGCAAGTCATCTCTGAGCTGATCGAACACCGCGTCACTCACTCCTCTTGCGGTGTAAAGGAGGCCGCGCCAGGCTGAACTGAAAATGAGACAACAAACTACACCAGTGTTACTAACGAATACAATCCTGTTAGTAACACCCGCACTGGTTGACTCAACAACACTTGGGATAGTGACAATAGGTAATAAGGCTTCTGATCTCATCCATTTCAGCCTGAGGGCAGCGAGCCGTTTCATGCAACGGCTAATGGGCGAGCGAGATTCGTGCATACGTGCGCGAACAAGTATAGATGGGCAGCGTAACGTTTTTTTACGGTTTACGTTACGGTGTGCGTAACGTAAGCAGTTTACGGTTACGGAAAGGCCTTGCGACTTTACGGTTGATGCTGAACTGCTTTTTTAGAATTGTGGCGGAAAGATTCGCTGTAACGCACTCCGCGATAGCTCTCGTTCTATGCCTTCTCTCAATCCGACCCTGACTTTGAGGATGATAAGACCTTCCATACTTTACCTTAGCCGCACCAAGCCTTTGCGCTAGTTGCTGCATCACATAATATCCAAGAACACTACCACGATCAGTCTTGATGTAGCTTTGTAGACCCAGGGAAGTAAGCATCCTTACTACTGCTTCAGTCACACTGGAAGCATCTTCCCTGTAAACTACTCTGTCTTCAACCCACTTTGTAAACGTATCAGAAGCAGTAACCAGTATCGAGCTACCAGAAGCATCCATCGGCATCTTGAGGACATCTACTACAACTACTTCCCACGGACTACCAATCTCAGTTTGAGCCAACTGCTGAAATACTGGAGTTTGTGCTTGAGCTGCAATACAGTATTTACAAGTTACACAAAAACGTTGAACATCTTGGTCCACCGTCAACCAATAAATCTTCGTACGTAGACGGCCAACAAAACTATCCCAAGACACATGACTACCAGTAGGATGTGAGTGTTCATGTCGAAGAACTTGAAGACGAAGGTTACAGTTACCTTACAATAGCCAAGCAGTGGATAAGTAGCAGAGTAAACCATCCTTAATACACGATTGCTCCCATATTTCGCGATAACCAGTAGGTAAATACCGTGCACATGGGAGTCCATCTCTTACCATGGTATAGATATCTCGCAACTCATCATCACGTTGTTGATGATGAAAAAGTTTACCAAAATAGATAAATGGCGAATTATACGTAGCACCAATGGTAGCCTATTGCAGAGTTTTAAGTTGATGTTCTTCAACTATCCATCTAGGTGGGACTCTACAGAGCACATCTGCTAAGTTGGATGATGTCCCAATCCACTCCACATACGTTAATATGTTTGTTATCCGACTTGGATCTAAGCTTAGTGCTGTCCTCAATAATATACTCGTCATTGAGCAATACATACTATGTATTGCACATGTATTACATAGCCAGTAGCAATGGCCGAACCAGCGGTATAGAGGATAAACGGTTTACTGAAATCAATAAACCATCCACCATGTGCTGTATCTCTCTCACGCTGAATACGTGAAGCTACTTCACGAGCCCAAGACCTAACTTTGTCACGTACGGGCCTGCGGAGCCATGCTAGACACGGACGCAACCATGACAACACTAGATAATGGCTTATTCGTTCGGCACTCCAGGACAACAGCTCCCGTGAAGTAAACGTGCTCTCCAACAGCAAGTCAATATGTTGACCACTACGACGCTTTCAATATAAAACATCGTCAGAGCCAACTACCAACTGTAAACCAAGCGCACGAGCTCTAGCCAAATCCTCAGGAGACTTAGTTGGAAGTTTATGCAAGAGATTTTGTTGTATACGACTCAACCGATTAGGATCTTCCAAAAAAAGCCAACAAATATAACATCGAGATAAGCATCAGCAACTTCGCCGCAAGGGAAGCCTTCATTATTAGCTGCACGGTTTTTGGATCTATATGAAGTCCACAACCCATATCCATATCACACAGGCAATAACACCTATTACGCCAGATTGCACATAGCCAGGCCACAACTTGGGAGGTATCGCCACATTCTCGGGAATTCCCGGGAATTAGAGGAATGGCTCATTCTTTTCACTTTTCGGCCAGCCTGGCATTTTCCCAGCAAGATTGGTTATGGAAGGAGTTGTCCGTTTCAGGACTAGTCTATCGAGTGACTGCAGCGACTAGTCTATCGATCGATACTCTAGAGTCGAGAGCCAATGCAAATAGCTCACCCACTCGTCCGAGATCCGACCGAAATTATTGTTGTTCGGTGATGGGGAACGTCGTTGCCGCAACGACCATAATGGCCGGGATACACATGGGACTGAACTCATAATGAGTTCAGTCCATGTTACTGTGCTAATCCATGAGTATTTTCTCCACACCTGTAATGAGTTACTCATTACAGGTGTGGAGAAAACACTAAGTCCAGCAATCGGGTGATCGACTCTATCTAATAATGAGGTATGATCAAATCTGTTTAATAATACGGGTAGCCGTACTATGGCCGGGATAGCTAGTCCCGAGCGAGAACACGTGCCGTCGGTGTCGACTGCAGCGTACTGTTGAAAGAAACACACGATAAACTGGCCCGCGGTGTCGGGCCAAAGAACACGACCCACAAGAATAGTTTACGGCTATTCATAGCTTATTCTGAAGCACCTTTGACTGCCTGTGCTAGATAATCTAACTCAGATACTATCTGACAGATAGCCAGCTGTGCAATTGGGCTGAAACTCGATATAGTTCCCCACAAGCATAAGATCAGGGAATACCCAACGGTTTTCAGCCTCTCGTTTGCATCTCCCTTGGGACCCAGTCCAAATACCAAATTTGGCATGAAGTCAATGAACCTACAACGGAATGTCCAAATTTCCAGCGCGTCATCGAAGGTAAGCTCGACTTCGGTCTTCGCGGCCACGCTAGCTTACGCGCCGATATCCGCTATATTATCATGATAGTAAACTTGGCAGCCGTCATCGATGCCAAGACGTACATGCGCAGAGCCGACTTGCAGGTTGCGGAGCCCCACGGTGGGGCCCCCACCACATTTTCCCTTGGAGAAGGGGCACGTATTACGTGCCACGTAATGAATAGGATGCTTGTAAACACCCTTGTCGCCTCCATCCAGCAGGAATTTACGAGTGAATTGCGCTTTTTCTTGATGACTCTTTGGTTCTTTTAAATAGAGACTCTATTATAGAGTGCAACAGTGCTGCTTCGCATTTTTCAGAAGATCGCAGCTGTTGCATCGGCGAAAGGGAGCCTTTTCACCCGGATGGGGTCCAAGACTACACAAGCTGATCGTAACATCCTCATCGGGAGGGTGTTGATGAAATATCAATCCGAATGTCAGGTCGATCAAGTCGGCAGAGCCGAGGGATATTTTTCCTCTGTGCTCCTTCCTCGAACTCAAATGACATCATCGGCTTAAGCGGGGAACACGGCTTTGAGCAGCTATAACAATGTTATAATAACATCCGACTGGCTACTCGTGACTACTTTCGCCAGTAGTCTTCTCAAACCAATCCTTCCAAACAAAGAAGAAGTAATCGCTCCCAGTATCAACAACAGCATGCATAGACTGATGACGTCCGTCACAAATGCATGATACAGCCCAAATCCATATGGAGATAAAACATAATAGGCTATATCTAGCGTGATAACTTGTCCATTGGCACTTGGCTGTACCGCGAAGCACGAGAGGAACAGCAGAACGATGCGACGATCCACTGAACGCTTGAAATATCTGGCTACTGTTGTCGTTAGTGTTGTTGTGACAACACTAACTAACAGTTAGTTACAACAATGTTGGCGCTGTTGCAAATCGCGTAAGGAACTAAACTTATCAGCGAAACTTTCTCGTTTCGATGGTGCCTGAGAAACTTCGATGGATGACCGTCAAGCTGATGGTCTGAAAATCCTGACGGCGTCAGGATATTCAGAGATTATCTCCTGACGCCGTCATACGATAAACGATATTTCAATATGTCATACGGTATCAATCATTTCTACCGTATTCCAAGCAAGTCGTTTGAAACAACGAGGATGAGTCATCTTCGACAACTGTAGTACAGTTACTGACAGTAACTGTACTACAGTAACTTACTGTACCGGAGATTTACTGGGCAAAATGGAACTTCACTGAACGGAGACTTGCGAGCCGCTGAGACGCGGCTGCAGCAGGACGCATGTTGGCGGCAGAGAGCTAGCGAGTGGCCGTGTCGCACCCAAGATGAGCAAGGAGAAGAAGACAAGCAGTAATCATATCACTGACTATCTACCAGGTAGATACCACAGGGTGGCATACCACCGCAGTTCCACCAGAGTGGTATGATTTCCTAGCGCTATTGTGATTATCCTCGGAGACTCCGAGTCGGAGTGATTCACCCCGTGCTATGTCGTTTTTCACGAGTCTCCCCCGAGTCAGTGAGACACTGTGTTATCTACGAGCAAGAGCCATAACGAGCTTAGAGTGTGATACATAACTACACCATCATTCCAACACTACCGAGGCAGGCAAAATTTCTACTACGAAACTCCGCACACTTGACAGACTCTATGGAGAAGAGTTGACCCCGTTGTGCCTAGTTGAACAAGGTAAATCAGTCATTATCGGAACCGTTGGAGCTAGATCAACCTCACAGCTCAGACATTACCAAAATCCACATAACTCGCCACTCTTAGAGGTTACATAGGACTCCGCTGAGTGGCTGGAAGTTGGCCTGTCGGATGCTGTGATCGATACCATTCCGCTACTATCAGGAACTTCCTGGTGGAGAATAAGGTAGAGAGCTCTGGAACTACCCCCATATTATATGGGCCATATATACACCTCGGTCATTCCAGAGGTCAATTTAGGATTTTACTTCTCAGAGGAAACGATCGGAGCGTCTCTGACTGAGACCCTGATCATGGGAGATGCTGAATAGCTTGCTCAAGAGGCTCACGATGAGCCGCTTACCTCGAAATTTGAAGATCTATTAGATCCGATCTACATGAAGATGGATCCTAGGGGCAAAGTTTCGATCAATCTTCGGATTCGATCTCTCAGTGCCCGATGTAATGCATATCATCTGTTCATTTCTTTCTCTCATCTCTCTGCCTTGTCGAGAGTGTCAGGTGGCGAAATATTTACTATTTAAATATATGACATGGTTGTCTCACAATCAATGTTGGACACATCTCAGTAATCCGCGCTCCTTTACTCAATATGCCATCAAGCCTCCCCAGTATGTCATCAAGTGTCCTCAATATGCCATCAGGTCTCCTCACTCAGCAAAACACAACAGGGTCGCTTGATTGATAGTCTAACAGCTCCAAAGTCAAATA